CCCTGCAGAGCGGCCGCCCGACCCCGTCGTCCACCCCAAGGCTGACTCCAGTGGGCAGGCGGAGGAGGAAGAGGAGGAGGAGGAGGAGGAGGAGGAGGAGGAGGAGGAGGAGGAGGAGGAGGCGCGCACCACCTGGCGCGACGGGATATCCGAGGCGCGGGCAGCTAGGAGATGGAGCGCCTTCCAGGGGGAGGGACTTACCAGGGCCTGGAAAGAAACGCAAGGCCCTGAACAGTGCGGGGGGGGCCATCCATTTTTTTTTGCAGCACCTACCTCGGCCAGGCGGCCGAGGTGGCACCCGACAGGCCCCCCCCCTTTAAATCGGATCAAGTGGCTTCCCCGTGCGCGGGTGGAGGCCACGAGACGCATAGTTAATCTTGGTCGCCTGAGAACTCCGAGTCGACGGGTACTGGGAACGACCAAGACAACGCTTCTCGAACCCACGTAAAAGACCCCCTGGGAGGATAACGTGGGCCGAGCACAACGAGCAGAAGGCCACTCGGCCGACCTGCTCCATCTGATGGCCCAGGGACACAAACCGAGCAGTGAGAGTTTCGGTCGGCGGCGCCTGGGCCTGGCCAGGAGCGGACCCCAGGACCCTCGCAGCAGCCTCGAGCGCCGCAGGCGCCGCTTCCGAAGAGAAAGCCGCCCCCTCCTCTTCCCGCGTAACGAACACCGCCTGCGCCTGCCACGCCTGGAACGCGCTGGGCCCGCAGTGGCGGCGGCTGCCAAAACGGAGTTGGGCGAGGGAGGAGGGGGTCTTGGCATGCAAATTGCAACGCTTGCATCGCCACTCTCCCAGGGACGGGAAGTGGTACAGCTCGTGCTCGATCAGTGCGAGGCCACACTCTCCTTCACGCTCTCGACGCCGCGGGACAGGAGACGAGGCCGAGAGCTCCTGGGCACACGCACCAACACTCTGAGCAAATCTGGACAGAAAATCGAAAGTCAGACGCGTCTGAGAGATCACGGAGCTCCGGACCTTCTCAAGCGTCTTAGCCGCAGCGTGGGAGTCTGCTCCGATACGCGCGAAAAAATCGGCCCAGGTGTCCCCCAAAAAAATAGCACCTCGACCTCGGATCCCGACGCGACCACATCATCCCAATCACGGTGAGATGGGGTCCATTCGAAAGACGGCCTGGGACCAGGGCTACCATATAGCTGAAATATATGCCTCCAGACCGCCGCGTGGCGCCCACCACTGGCCGCCAGGCCAGGGTCCCAAGACTGCCCCTCCAGGGCCGCGCTCAAATGGTCTGACACCACATGCACATTCAGGGGGCCGACTCGAAGCGCCTGGAGAACCGCAAACCGCTCGGCCCGAGGCACAGTCTGGGCGCCGCTAGGCAAACCCCCGAAACGGGCCCGAATCGGGGGCCCACGAGGGCCCAACTCGACCACGGCCCATCCACACCGTCTAAGTTCGGGGCTGCTGCTGCTGCTCAGCCCCGGACCGTCGGTGTAGACGCGCCGCCCCCACGGCGCTTCGGCCTCGCCCCACGCGCACACAGGGGGCTTGTCAGGGACAGGGCCGAGAGCGACGGGGTCGAGCGGGAGGCCGTACAAGGCCTCGAGAGAGTCCCAGACCTGCACGCCCATATCAAAACGACCTGTGCCCCTGAGCTCAGACCTGCGCAAGAGAACATCATCGGGAATACAGTTGCCCTGGGGCGCTGGGTAGTTCAACACTGCGTCACAGTCGTAACGCTGGTGACCGAGAGAGCCTACAACATTCGTGTCGCACAGAGTTCAAACATTGCTGTCGCTCAGGCCAACCTCATATTTTCTCTCTTGCGACCACAAGGCATTGCCGATCAAGCAGCGGAGAGCGGCACGACGGGCACTGTCGCGAATCTTAAGGACGGCTATTCGCACACCTCGAAGCCAGAAGCGCTCGGATTCAGCCTAAGGGAGGTGGGGCAAAATCTTCTTGGCTCGCCACCCCTGGATCCCCGACCGAAGCTGTACCTTTACATCGAGCGGAGCGGTTCGCAACAGGTCAATCGAAAAAAGCTTGGTCGTCTACAAGCACGTGCGCAGCAGACATAGACCAGGCTACACGGTACAAGCTGAGAAGCACTGCGCTAATTGGGCCACGACATGACTTCCACGTCGGCCGCTCGAGGATCCGTGACTTAACAACCATCCACGCTGTTTGGAGTCGGCCTAGCGAGAACCTCGAGTCCCAAATTACAGCTGCATAGCGTTGGACTAGCGGCGCCGTCGCGTCGAACATGGGTCATAAAAGGGGTCAGGCTGTGTCGCAAGCCAGGCCGTCGAGGACCCAGATCGCTTCGCGCCCACTAAGCATCCCGCCATGGTGCGGAGGGCCCCAAGGGTCGGATCCGTGAGCCCAGAAACCCCAGCCCCATGCGACCCAGCAGGCATAAGCCCAGTGCGCCATAAAAGACCCACCTTGCTGGGCGCAGCTCGACGGAGGGCCGCCAACTTGTCCCGACGCCGAAGCAATTTCTTGAGACGGAGCTTTTCTTAGGCCCGCGCAGGCCGTCCAGGAAAAAGAAATCATGGCCAAGGTTACGCGCGTGGGCATGGCTGCGGAGTTTGACCAGACGGGCCGACGACGACAGGTTCGACGACACTTTCACCGCCGTAGCCACATACCCACCCCTGGCCGCTTGGAGGGTTAAACCCAGCTAGAGGACCTGGCTGCAATACCATCTTACCGCGGCTAGTAAGATCTCACTAAACTTACGCAGCCTACCAACCCACTGGAAAATGGAGTCATCCATGAGGACCCTGGGCCTGACCGTGGGGTAAAGGGCCCTCAGCTTAACACTCACACGGTGGAGGAGCACGTGCATCATAGAGTTGGCGTGGATACATCCAGCAAGGATGCCTTGGTTGGTCACAACCTGCCGCGACGCAGAGCCGAACGCCTGGGTCACCCTCGGGCACCGATAAGAAGCAAGGACCATCCACATCGTCCGAAGCGGGTATCCAACCTCCCTGGCTTCGGCGAAAAGCCGCTCTACGATAACACATTCGTAGCATTTAAGCATGTCCATGAACACGCTCACAGAATACTCACCCGCCGCCGTGGCCGCCTCCGCCTCCATAGTATGGTCTAAGGCGGCGTCAGACACACTAGCCCCTGGACCATGGCCCCAGAACGAAGGGTCACGATTCGCCTTCTCCCAGGCCTGGGAGACAGGTTTTCTCACCCGCCCCCAAAGGCGGAGCAGAGAGTTCAAAAGCGCAAACAACCGATACCCTCCAGAAGGTTTGGGCGAACGGACTAAACGGGTTTGGATCCGAGACTCAGGCCAAGCGAGGGGCCTCTCGCAGGCCTTGAAGAGATCGGCCACATATTGCAAGCACTCTTCAGAGACAGCGAGCATGGACCTGGGGTTCAAACTGAGCTGGCCCAAGGCGGTTATGCTGGGAGACGAAGCGCACGCCCTACGAAGGTCGGCGACCGAGATACCAGGCGCAGCCTCCCAGTCATGATGGTCACTCAGAAGGCCCACTCGATCGCAACTGTGCATCTCCCAGATCGCCCCCCCCACTCCGCGAGGCAGTCGCATGCCTGCTGGAAAGGCTGCGGCCGAGACGTCTGCGCAACCAACTCCTGCACCTCACGAACGCGAGAGAACTTGTGCGCAACTCCTGCTCCCTTGTCAAAGGCCTGCTCGACCCACTGCTTCCAGTCAGCCCGTGAAGCATCAGCAAACTCATGCAGGTTGACATCGGTCTCATCAAGGAATCCCTGAACGACGTCGTCGAACTCTGCACCGCTGAAGCTGGAGGGCACGTCCACAAAAACTCCCTGATGGTCTCCGTGGTCTCCCCCAGCACCCAGGACGACTTGCGAATGCGATTCCGAACCCCCTGAAGGAAATAGAACTGCTCGGCTATCTGCTCCAGTCTCACATCCGCGGGGCCGCTGGCATACTCGACGGCGAGCTGACACAACTTGGCGCGGACCGGGCGCAAGTGTCGCAACCGTCGGCCCAAAGCACGCCACGCAAGCTCCGCCTTCGGCTGAGAGGGGGCTTGCTTCGGCAGCGGCTTCCACGAATAAGAAGGTGGGCCAGCGCGCCCACAGAACTTCCGCCGCTACGAGGCCATCACGATGTCGTTGCGGTCACAGAGCTCGGCCTCAATGCCTGCTAGAACATCGCCCCAGCAAGGAGCCAACTCATCTTACGAAGCTGCGTACCTTATGAGTGACTGGATCTGGGCCCACTCCTCGACGGGGGGAAACCTCGCACAGCCAACCTTCGGCTCAGCTCCAAACTTCTGAGGCTCATCAGGAACGCGACGACACATGTTTCTCTCCGCCATGCCCAACTCAAGAAGAACGGGTTTGCGCGGAGAGAGGTCGGTCCATTCCTCGACGGTCAGCTCGCCCACTGCAGCAGCCATAGACAACGATGCGAAGAAGAAGTCGCGCACCGTGCCTGGGAGCGCCTGCGCACACGTGGGCACCTGGGGCGACACGCGAATGGCTCCTGCAGCGTGGAACCAGTCGTCCAGCAGGCCACCATCCATGTTCCAGTCCCCGCCTATGACCCACGCAATGATGCCCTGGCGCGACAGCTGGCTGGCGCAGTCGATGGCCGCCTGCACAATCTCCAAGTTCTGGGCTCCAAGGCCCTCTCCAA